AAAGAGCATATAATTTTCTTATTGCTTGATTTTGACAATGTCAGCAAGGATATCGAACTAACCAATCCTACCTTGTTCCATATTCCAGTCTAATTTATCTATATTACCTATTTTTTTTTTTTTTTTGGAAGAAACGGCAGAGAGATATAGGATCAAACCTGATCCTGGTATGCAGAGCCATTGCAGGCTCCTTGATGCACCACCACCTATGCTGTGTTATGGGCCATGTTGGGACCTCCTGTGATGCTGCCTCGAGCTGATATTAATTGATGTTTCAGACAGCCAAATTGGTCTGCAATTAGTTCAATTTTTCTGTAAGAATCTTCAAGTAATAACAGCCCGAAGGAGTATGAATGTCCCACATGGTTTTCAAGCGTGTGGTTTGAGGACAAGCTGGGATAGGATGGCCTGTCCTTGTTTTTAAGGATGGAACCATCCCATATAGTGTCCAGTTGGGAGGGATGGAACCGTCCATTTTTTTTGTTTGGTTAAGAGTGATGGGTCAAATGGGATGGATAGAGATTTTGACACCGTCAGCTACAGTTTGTGTGGGCCTCAAAGTTGTAGTTGGCCCTACCGGTGAGCCTCAACATCTTTTCTTCTCTTCCTGCCATGCGTTTGCCTCGCCATGTTGCCACGGGATGCTCGCGTCGTCCTGCACTCCTGTGTGCCCGCTGCCTCAACATCGGCTACTCGCACCACCTGCCCCACTTCTCTAGCCATCTGCGTGCCATGCGCTCTACTTACTTTGGGCCCATCTGCCATGCCTTGCCACCACACATCGAGCCGGCATGAGGAGTCGCGTGCCCGAGGCACCATGACTCCTGTGACCCACCCCAAGGGCTGTGAGCTCCGGTGTGGGGAGGAGCACGAGTCGTGCGGTTGAGCCGTCCCTGTCGAGCCGTCCATGGCCCTGACCTGTGTTGCCGTTGACCCGACATGCTCGCCCACGCCCGCTTGTTGATGGAGACGGATGAAGATGGCGTGGACGAGGGACGTCCCCGTCCCACCGATTTCAGGGACTCGGTTGGTCCCACATCTTTGCAGTATATGCCTTTTAGGGACCATCCCAACCCCGGTGGACTCCAAACAAAACACTGTATTTTTGGGGACAGACCCGCTCTGTCCCTATGAGCCCACGAACCAAACACACGACAAGATGTTGATCATGTCCTCAAGTCATCAGTTCAATATAGCATATATTGATGTGCACAGTGGATGCATGTAACGTCCAGTCCCGACATACATGGCCCCAGCCCACTCTTCCTAGGAGTGGTCCGACCCGCGTAGCAACCCGCTTGAACTTTCGTCCTCGCTTCGTTCAAAACGGTTAACCGAAGGTTACTACGCGTCCCTGGCCCTGGTATTTAAGTTGATCCGACGAATTCAGAGTTTTCCAGTATGGGACTAAACTCTGGTTGCACAGTGTTTCGCGGTGCTACAGTAACCACCGTGAACAGTGTTCCGAATTTGGCCTGCCCAATTCGGATGAACATTACCGCGCTACAGTAACCCGCTTTGGATGCTACAGTAGCCGGCCTTATTCTGCTACAGTAACACCGGCCCATACTGGATTTTTAATTGGGCCCACTTTGGCCCATTAGGATGTTACAATCATCCCCCCTAAAGATTCGACGTCCCCGTCGAATGCCAGATCAGCTTACCCTTTCGGGACATTTACCCCAGGATCCGCCTCTCTTCAACACGTTTGTGTGGCCCCGTGCCGGCGCATGTGTATGCCATGCCGTGACCACGACGGATCCACGCACATGCACACAACATACCCGCGCAGTTGTCCCCACGTGCCCGTGAAACCTCGAGAGTCGGCTCTGATACCAAATGTAACGTCCAGTCCCGACATACATGGCCCTGACCCACTCTTCCGGAGTGGTCCGACCAGCGTAGCAACCCGCTTGAACTTTTCGTTCGCCCGTTCAAAGCGGTTAACCGAAGGTTACTACGCGTCCCCCGCCCCGGTATTTAAGTTGATCCGGACGAATTGAGTTTTCAAAGATGGGACTAAACTCGGTTGCCTGATGTTTCGCGGTGCTACGTAACCACCGTGAACAGTGTTCCGAATTTGGCCTGGCCCAATTCGGATGAACATTACCAGCGCTACAGATAACCGCTTTGGATGCTACACAGTAGCCGGGTAACACCGGCCCATCTTTGGATTTTTAATTGGGCCCACTTTGGCCCATTAGGATGTTACAATCATCCCCTAAAGATTCGGACGTTCGAATATCGGCTACCCTTTCGGGACGGGATCCGCCTCTCTTCAAACGTTTGTGTGGCCCCCGCGCATGTATGACGTGACCCAACGGACAACAACACACAACATTTTTGCCGGGACGAGAGTCGGCTCGATACCAAATGTAACGTCCCTCCCGACATACATGGCTGACCCACCCACTTCTTCCTAGGAGTGGTCCGACCAGCGTAGCAACCCGCTTGAACTTTCGTCCCTCGCTTCTGCTCAAAAGCGGTTAACGACAGCCACAGTATTTAAGTTGTTGAATTGAAGATGGGACTAAAGTGTTTCGCGGTGCTACAGTAACCACCGTGAACAGTGTTCCGAATTTGGCCTGGCCCAATTCGGATGAACAGTACCGCGCTACAGTACCCGCTTTGGATGCTACAGTAGCCGGCCTTATTCTGCTACAGTAACACCGGCCCATACTGGATTTTTAATTGGGCCCACTTTGGCCCATTAGGATGTTACAATGCACACCACCAAACCACAGCAAATGTATTCTAAAACTACCTAAACTAAATCATACATAAGTGTAATTTATTCAATCTGAGTCCATAGGAACTAACAGAGATGGGCTAAAAAATTGCCACAACACCACAATGATTTATTTTTTTCTTGAATCCACAGGGGAGTTGTGTGTCATTGCATTAACTTAATACCACACCCACACTCTCAAGCACACACCCACTCAATATTCTTGATGATATCTGTATCTTAACTGAACTCTCAAGGATAAACCGTTCGTGTGGAAATTGAGAACTCTGTTTGGCATAATAGTTGTTCATGCCGTCTTCTAGATCTTGCTGAAGATTTTTTTGGTTCGTGTTTATTTCTTATACATATTGTTCCAATCTCTGCTAGAAATTTATTTGACAAGTATAATATTGCCTGTTTATCAGTCAGCATGCAGGGCTGCAGCAGATCACTGTAGAAAGAAGGGGAAAAGCATTACGAAGCTAGCTATGCAGTATAGCTTGATGAATAATGAAGTCTCGACAGTTCTTGTTGGAATGAACTCTTCAGAACAGGTTCACTGTTTTATTTTATTTTTTTTGCACTTTTGCCTTCTATTCAGCTCATTCATATTGCTTGATGAATAAATATATTTTCTAACTCGTGAGCTGCTAGAGCATATTCTGGTTGGTTTAGGAAATGATAAGAAATATTGTTATCTAAGCTTGCGTTCTGAATATCATATTTCCATGCTTCCACAATCTAAACCAGATGTGAGCTGTGAGCGGATCTCCTGTTGACTCCTAGTATATTTGGCTTGGTCTGTATCACATGTACCCTAAAAGATTTTCATATTTCTTTCTTAATCTTAACTAGGAATAGATTCATTATCATCATAGTTTTATCACTGTGAGGGTAATATAGAGATAGCCATGTTAGTTTAAGCCTGTATTTTTCTTTTAAATCGCATCTATAAACTAGTTCCTATTTAGTTAGTACTTAGTACAGGTTTGTAAATTTGTTAAACTAGAACAGCTAAAGATTACCAAGCCAGTTCTCATATATTGTACAAGTTTTACAAAATATGAAAAGAATTTTTGGTAGTCACCAAGTGTATCACTCGATAATAAACCATGTTGTATCTTGTTTGTTTAACTATTGATTAGTAGCAATGAGGTGTATTGGAGCACTCACCTTATGACTGCAGCCTGTTGGGTTAGTCCTTTTCAATTCTGAGTTGCCACAGAACTTGCCACTTGCCATCATGTGTTGTCGTTCTATGGTAGCATCCTTTTTGAAGCAGGTATATATATACAAATATACATTCGACCTTAAAATGTGAAGTGAAACTGAGTTTTTTCAAAGATGATACCCTCGCCCTTTTCTTCTTTCCAAAACAAGGCCAGCAGTGGGGTTTTGCAGTCCCATTTAAAGATTGCTGTGTCACCACGGAGAATCATTCAGTTTGCTTGTTGGGACAGAAGCTTAGGATGGCAATGTGGTGATTTCTGGTGTAACGTCTTGTGTTTCCGTGATACAAGGTGGAGGAGAATGTGGCTGCTGCACTGGAGTTGTCAACATCAGGCATTGATGAAGAACTTCTGCGTGAAGTTGAAGCAATTCTTGAGCCTGTGAAGAACCTGACATGGCCTAGCGGCATCCAACAAGCCTGATGGCCAAAAGCTGCTTGCCTGATTTGAGAAGCTAGTGTGATGGACGTATCAGTGCTATTCGATTCAGTCAATTGTGCACAGTAGCATCATTGACTGCTGATTGCAAATTTGCAATCCCGTATGGTTATTGAAAGGGACGATTGGGACTGTTGGGATTTTATGGTTGGGTCCTGTGGTAATTTAGGCGTGTCGAATGAAGGCGACACGAGCAATAAAAGATCGATGCTGATCACTGAATAAGCGTCTCACATACATCTGGAGTGGAGTAATACTAGTTAATTTGGTTGCGCACCACATTAACAGGGAAACAAGATGTTGCTGAATTATTCACCGAACATGGATTTCTTCTTTGACTTGCCTGTTGTCATGAGTATCAGTGTAAACTTATGCTGTTTACCTGTCGACACAATGTTTTTTATGTCAGTTCATACCAAAACTCGTGTAAAGTATTTATATAGATTGCTAGATATACTACAATATATTTTCCTATGGCTGATGCAAATTGGAACACGTTGTCTAAACCTGCCATCTAAAACATTCAGAACCTCGAAGAGCAACCCAAAATTGTGATGATGAGACTGAAGCGTCAACTGTCAGGAGTTGGAAGAAGTGCGTGTGAGCTAGGAGTCCTTCACTGCTCGTCCATGGTCGCCGAGGCCAATGGCCCCCTCCACCGCCGATATGATCTTTGGTACAGACATGCTGCCTGAGAGGACGATTTCTGTAACAAATTCCCCATTCAAATCAAGAAACTCGGTAGGCACGAGGAGAGGAAGGCTGGTGATGCATGCTGGCATGCTGTTAATTACCCATGGCCTCCCGGACGGAGAGGTCCGGGATGATGACGTCGGCGCGGCTCATGAGGAAGATGTCCCAAAGGTAGAGGTTGTTGTTGGGTACGTAGACGCAGGCAAGGTCCTGGTCGCCACCTCCTTGAAGGCTCTTGAGCTCTGGTCTGAAATCATCAAGACGAACGAACGCATTTATGAAGAAGGAAACGCAGATGAACTTGGCGTGTGCATATGTCATGATTGTTTGGGATGTGTTTATTTATAGAGTAAAATGCAGGTATAGTCCATTAATTTGTAAGACTGTGTCGATTTGGTTCATCAGCTTTGAAAATATATTTTTAGATCTTTTATTGATGCATAAAGAGTCCGTACCCCTAGTTCGGTGTTTTCTGTCTACGTGGATAGGCCACCGTGGCAGCTAAACCGGAATTCTTCCGTTCCGAACGCCGGACCGGAAGCGTCCGCCGAACGCTGCGCGTCGATTCCCGCCGAAGGCTGCGCGCCAAATTTTTTATCCGAGAACGGAGCAGCAGCCGTGCGGCGCATTAGTGTGCGGCCAGCTTTAATTTGTTTCTCTTGCTCCTTTCTTATTATTTTTCGTCTCCTTTTCTTTTCCTTTGGTTTTTTTTCTCTTTTTTGTTTTTATCTTTGTTTATTTCATGTTTCTTTTCTTATGTTTTTCTATGATTAATGTTTTTTAATTTTTTTTATCTTTCTATAATTTTTTCCTTTTTATTTTTTTATTTCTTTTCCTTTTTTCATTTTGTGCTTCATTTATTTTTTATTTTTATTTTATTTTCTATTTTATGTTTTTAATTTTTTATCTTTCTTTTATTTCCTTTCCTTTTCTTATTAATTTTTCTTTCCATATTTTTTATTTTTGTTTTTTCGTTTCATGTAATTTTTCATTATTCTTTTCATTTTTTATACTTTCATTTACTTTATTATTTTTCTAATTATGTTTTTCTTTGATTCATGTTTTTTTATCTTTCTTTAATTTTTCATTTTTTCATTTTTTCATTTCGTGCCTCATTCATTTTATATTTTTTTCTGTTTTATGTGTTTATTACTATTTTTATTTTTAATATTTTTTACCTTTCTTTTATTTTTTTTTCTTTTTTTCTTATTATTTTTTATGATGTTTTGTGTTGTTTTATTTATGTTTATGTAGTATAAATGTGATGTTCTATTTTTTCTGATGTTGACGTGTTATACATGTGATGTTCTGAGATGTTTTTTACGTTCACGTGGTATGCATGTAATGTTCTATGATGTATTTTTTTATGTTCGCGGAATATACATGTGATGTTCTCGTAGTATACAAGTGATGTTCTATGATGTTTTTTGTGATGTTCACATAGTATACATGTGATGTTCTATGATGTATTTAGTGATGTTCACGTAATATATATGCGATGTTCTATAATCTATTTAGCGATGTTCTATGGTGTATTTAGTGATGCTCACTTAGTATACATGTGATATTCTATTATCTATTTTTAGGGTATTTGAAAAGTATCCCCGTGATATTCTTTTTAATTTTTTCTCTATTACATTTTTTATTTTTTCCCTTATGCTTTACTCTAGATTATGTTTTTTATTTATGTTATGTATTTATTTATTTTTATGTATATAATAATACTAATATCGTGCACCTAAAACTAGAATAATGTTCTTCCAAATCAAGAATATTTTTCTTGTGAAGACAGAATATTATTCTCTGAATCTAGAACATCGTCTCTGCTCAACAAAAGAAAATATTCTATCTTTACGAAATAAATGCTCGTTAATGAAACTTTACCTAAATATATTCATGTGGGGTCTTGTTTTGAATGATTTATTATAAGAAACACAATGGTGCAATCAGAATTCAATTTAGATAGTCGATTTAGCAGTTATGACTTTTTTAGTTGGTAAAAAAGAATGACGTCACTGCATGCAAGTGGGGTGCAAATCTATCAGATGGAAAAGATTCTCTGGCAGTTTTGGCGCGTGTTCACGCCTCCTTTGTCCGACGCGCTACCCCTCCGTTATTCGCACTTGCCTGGCCAGCCTAGTTTGGGCTGGAATCAATTGGGCGGGAATCCATCGACGAAGAATATGGTCCGCCTAATCGGATGCTAGCAGGCCCTAGCTGAACTGGCCATCATCACACGTGCAAGGCCCATGACCGCTCTAGGCCGTGCCTTTTTCACAAATAGGCCCCTCAAAGCCGTGCACCTCTCATTCCCCAGTCCTCCCCCTCTCTCTTCCTCTGCCTCCCGCAACGCGGCGGCGGTGGAGGCGAGCACGGTGCGGCGAAGGTGGGACGGTAGATCTGCGAACAGGAATCGAGGCTACGTGGCGGTGCAGGCGGAAGGGGAGGTCTCTAGGCACTAGTTCCCGCGATAGCCGCGGTGAACCTGCGCGATGGTGGCCACTGTGCGGCGGCTGATGGATCCACCTCCTGAATACGGTGAGTCAAGTGCCATCAAAATATGTTTTTTGGATTAAGAGGTAGTGTATTGGTAGATGGTGCTGGCAGTAGCTGCATTTTGGATTATTTCTATTGGTTAGGGTTTGATGCTGTGGGTATGGTTTGATCGTTTGTGTTAGTTAGAGTTTGTTCATTTCTGTTTCGTCGATATGGTAGTGACGTTGATCTGTTGCGGTAATGTAGGGGATGATGATGAAGAGTTCACAGTGGAGTTGCATCATGGGGTTTTTTTGTTGGTGAAGGTTCGAACAAATCTTATGTCGGTGGCAAGGTCAGCCATTTTGATCACTGTGAGGTGGATATCTGGTCGATAGTTTCGGTAGATGACTTCCTTTGTCAGCTGCATTACCCCAAGGATCCAGACCGACAAGTGTATTGGCTTTTACCAGGCAAGGCTTTGTCAAATGGGCTTAGGATTGTTAGTTTAGACGCTGAAATTATTGTCATGCAATCAATGGTTCATGAGGTGAAGAACTTCGTACTCTGCATAGATCATCATAACAACATTTGAGGGCTCAATTGGGATGACATTGTTGCTAATCCAGTGCCAACATTTCCAAAGGTGTTTAGTCCACAAAATGTGATCAATGCAGGAAGGAAGGAGGATGAGAAGCTACTAGATTTCTACTCTGACTTGAAGAGGACAAGTGAAGAAATGGATCCAGATAATGGGAGTGAGACCAGTGAAGATGACCCTGACTTTATGGATTCAGAATATGAGGTAGATGCTGAGGATGATTACCTCTTTACTGACAATGTTGATGAGGGAGTTATAGAAGGAGTGGCTATAGGCAACAAGTTTAGCAAAGGAAAGAAGTCTGTCAGGTTCATAGATGCAGATGCAGATGATACAATTGATGAAGGAGAGGACCTAGACTTACCTGACTCAGATGGGGAAGGTGAAGTTAGGATGAGGTTTCAGTCATTCATAGATAGTGACATGAGCAATCCTAGATTTAAGGTTGGTATGGTATTTGATTCTGTGGTGGTACTGAAGAGGGCAGTCATTGAGTACAATGTTAAGGAGAGAGTGGACATCAGATATCCAAGGAATGAGAAGAAAAGGCTACATGCAGTTTGTGACAAGGACTGCACCTAGGAATTATATGGATTGGTTGATGGCAGGTCTCTTGGCATGGTTATTGTTGACGGTGAAAATGTCACAAAATTACACACTCAAAACACCGTCAACAACCTCGGTTTAAAGGAAGAGAGGCATGCCATGAAACATATTTTATCAATAACAAGTTCCACTTGTACCTTGAGATATTTTTATGTAGGAGATGACAAATGGAGGCAAATGAGCTGGTGGCGCCTCCATATGTAGGTCACCCAACCTACCTATGGACCCACCAGGCCTTGCCAAGGTGGCACGATCCATGTGAAGTATCGCAGAGTCATTCCCCACCCTTGGATCACACTTGTGTTTTGGCTCAAGGGTGGAAGATGAAGTCACATGGATTCATGGGCCCACAATGAAGCATCCAACGTGATCGAAGTGGCCAGCACACTCCATGACATGTGGGGACACCTTCTAGAAGGAAGTGGTGGGGCCCAGCTGCCATAGGCAGGTCGGCCTACCTGCCCATGGAGGCTCCAGCCCTCCACCGCCTTCCCCACACATTTAGCACATGCCAAATGACCCTAGCCCTTGGATCTAAGGCGGTTCTATGGCGGTGGATCCAATGGTTGCATGATCAAGGTCACATGGATCGCAGATGTGGCACTCCTCCACCTCCACCTATAAATAGAGGGTCACTCCCCCCTCTCCATTCATGGTGGTGAAGAAGCCTACAAGCTCAAGTGAAGAGTAGTTTGTCCACTTTATCTTAGTAGTGTAGTCTAGAGTGGGAGTTAGAGTTGAGTAGTGAGCTTTGCTCGGGTCTTCCGGAGCTGTCTTCTGGAGAGTCTGGTATAGCTCTTGTACCTTTTCCTTTCTTTTGTAAGACTTTACCTTATTCAATATATTACTCTTTCTCTAATTTACTCAGTCTTTACTTTGTGCAATATTATACTATCTATAGTATTGTTGTGGCTTATCTAGTCATAGAGTTGTTATACACTAGATTGTGATCCTAGAAACACACCTATATTGCGATCATCGCCTGTCACAGGGTGCTCTAGTTGGCCTCGTAATTACAGCTAGAGTAGTGAGAGAAGGTGTAAGCGTGGTGCTTGTACATGATCTTGCTGCCTTTGGTTACCGCTTGTTGCACGGATTGTTTGTGGTAGCTAGTAGATGGTGATAGCCCTGTCTAGCCTTTGCATTCCACCACGTGTTGTAGACAAGCTCTTAAAAGGTAGGGCTCTAGTAACAAGGTAGCCACTTCGGATAGGGGTTTTGTCTCCTATTATCTCACCTATCGCCTATCATACTTGTTGTGAGATATCAATCTGTGTGTCTCAATTGTGTGGTTTGGTTAAGTTACATGAGTAGAGTTAGAAACATAGGAGTCCTATACTCTCTCGTTGTCCTCCCAGCTTGCTATACTTACTAGTTATCTTATTTATCTTGGCTTGTTTCATCATCATCCCTTCCTACCATATTCCGTTTACCCCCTATACTAGTGGATACTAAGTTGTGGTACATAAGGATCTCTCTTTTATTATCATTCCTAGCTACCGCTTTCCCTTGGGATAAAAATAAATAACGATACCTTGGAATACTCCCGGGTGAAGTGCTACAGCGGTATATTCTGTGCACTTGCGAAATTATCCAATAGACATAAGAAATACCAACAAACATTTCTGGCGCCGTTGCC